TTTTTTTTTGCGGAAATAACTTGGAAAACCGCTTCATCGTCTAGCAAATCACCCCAAAACATTTTGAAAAATCGCTGCCATCATAAACACAAATCGTACACATAAGATGATTCAAAATCGAACAAAGACGTGCGCACAGAATCATTTTGTACATACATGAACGATTAGAAACTTATTAGAAATATATGTTGCGTATATGAACAGAGAGAAAGAGAGATAGGGCGATTGCAAATGCCTGGTGGGATGAACATGGAATGTAATTAAACAGTAAGCATATACAAGTACAGTCGCAGCACAAAGATAAAGCACTTGTTTGAGACTAATGCCGGAGGGGGGTAGATATCCCCTAGGGTTCTAAGGCCCTAGTGTGTCCCGGATAATAAATAAGGCATGCGAGGATAATGGGAGAAAATACAAACGTTCACGCAAAGTGACAGTTGTAAAACCCGTGTAAATGGCGTGAAATGCCAGCAAAATCGATATCTCAATACGGAAAAGAGCAATAAATAGGTTTCCTAATATCATATGCATAATAAAGATTGTGAATTTCACTAGAAAACGTACGGGCAGTGTTTACGGTTAGCGTCGCACGTTCCTCATGGAATGTTGGAAGACACGTTCGAATTCTGGATGAATAAGACTATAAACGAGCTATATAGGTAGAAACAGCAAATCTGAAGAGACTTTCGAAGAAATAATTTCCAGAAAGTGTTCTTAATGCTACTAGATCTTATTCATGGAAATGCATGGGATAGAATATGAATGCAATAGGAACAGGTTAATAACCAAAACGAGAACATCATATCACTGGTATAAGTCGCATAATATGAAGGGAATAATATTACGGATCAATCGAGAACAGTTCCTTGTAAAGAGCTGGCAGTCCGGCCTCAGTTTCGACTGGGAACTGTGCTCGCAGCTGACCGAGCAGTATCAGATGAAGATGTGCTGTCTGCTTTAACCTCGGCAGGGTATCCCAAACCCTTTGTGCGTCACTGCCGACACGGGCAGCCAACGATTGCGCCAGAACGGTGCGAAGACGTTCACATGTGGCCTGTTCAGTGGATGCTGGCTCCAGAAGCAGAACGGCGCATAAGAGGGCCACTTCTGATGACGTCAACTGGCAAACTGCCAAATCGTGCAGACACTGATGGAATTCTTGCACGAATCGAACCTAAAAGGATGATTTATGTCAAACATTCTGATTCTGTGTTTTGAAATACATTGGACTACAACTCGACAAACACCATGCAAGATTGGCATTTGAAGGACTTTTAAAGAGAAACTTGTAACGGTTTTTTCCGATAAATTGGATTTCATCGACTAGAAAAAATACTGGTTTATGGTCCCACTACCTTACCTCAATTTGGTCTGTGATGTTTAGATTGTGAAGAGGCAGGACAATATTATCCATGGATAATGTTTGAGTTTCTGGTGAATAGCGAGATGACAGTTCAACAATCGCCAGTTCAAATACTCCACCTGAAATGGATATAGTAAAAAGTAATTCACAAAATATCCACTTCTTCACAACATCCAATTTACCTTTCAGTAGATGGATTTGTTCTTCTTGCCCAAGTCGCATGAAACCATCAATCATTTTTGCAAATTCGATAATGGCCTGTATGACGGTTGTGAGATCAGCGGCGAATTGCCGCCAGATGCCCACTCGATTCTGGAAATCCTGACACCCCATCAATACTTGGTGGCACAAATGCAGCACTCAGAGTTGAAGCTAGCAGTAAGATATGGGACTAACTATAGAAGCGAATCGGTTCACGTCAACAATTGTCGGATTCGGATTCATATTTCGCATCTGAGTATGGGTGGTTTCAAAAGCAGCAACGATTTTTGCCGCTGTATCCTCCTCAGCAGCCGAGGAGAGTTGCGGTGATGGAAAACCTCCATTGCTAGCAGGAACGGTACCTTAAGAGCTGTAGCTTAAGGATAAATTAGGTGTTAAAACAGGCATTGTCTGTTTTTCGGCATCTTCATAGAGATGGCGAAAAACAATTACCTTGTTGGGCGACGCCATAAGAATGTGATGGATAACTAATGGGAGCAGCGGCCACAGCGTGAGCATATGCCCCTTGTGCGTAGTGAGGATATAAACCGGTTTCATATCTGAAATTCAATATGTCGGTCTCATTGAGCCCTTGAGAAACAATATAATTTATGTAATTTCAAATTCACATAAAAAAATCTTCAACGTCAAAAGAACTCTTTACTTAACCGATGCTATTCAAGCCCTAATTAATC